TAAATACTAGTAATATGTAAAATATATATTTACAGTGTACTTTATAAATATTCTTTATTATATATTAACAAACAATAATTACAGGCATTTAAAAAGGTGGATTTTACCTGGGTTAATATACTCGTAACACTTTAAAATTATCTCTATATGACATTGAACTTAATTCTATTTTCAAAGATTTTTTTGGGGGGGGGGGGGAGGGGAGGGGGGTTCAAGTTCATTTGAGAGTTCCCATGGGAATTCCAATAGATTGCTGTAAGACCTGATCTCCAAAAAACTACATTAAAAAATTCTTCAATGTTTGCTTGAAGGAAGGTCCAAAATTCAGACCTAAACTTATTGCAGAAAAATCACTGATTTTATTCTTTCTGTGGATCTTTTGTAATTTACATGTACTAACCAGCCAGTTTCCTTAATGATAAAAGTTGAATATTTCAGGTGGTGGAGAAGCGCACCTATAAATAGACTACACATCAATATGATGCATGAGTATGGTTATCACAGCATAACCAAGAAATGGTAAAGTCATTATTAAACTCTTCAGTGTTTGATTTCACTGTAAGAGAGATTTAAAACTCAACAATTATTCATATAAATGATAGATCAGCCCACAAATTGTTCACAAGGTATGCACTTGAGGGATTTCTAATGTGGATAATATAAAAATGAAAGACATGCACCTATGAAAAAAAATATTCACATCATTTATACATTATGAAAATAACAGTTGAACACAACAAAATCCAAACAGTTTAAGAGCTCATTGCTTATTCATGGCCATGATTACTGCTGCATGTTTGCAACAATAACCATAAAGAAATCCGATACCATTGTAAACAACATAATCAACATATACATAACTGAATGACTAACATTTAAGTATAAATTAATGAACATATATGCAACATGCCCATATAAACTTTGCTATTTCTTCCATTTGATTTCACTACATGCACACATGCACCTTGTGTAAGGTCAACAAAACTACTCAATATTCAAATTGATTTTACATTACCTTCCTTCACTTTATAAACGGGCCTGATTTTGATGTTACATGCAACAATATCTAATACTTGACTTCTCAAGTATTTTACATAAATATACACATCATTTCCTCATTGTTAGATATATATTGAACACATTCCTGCACAAGTGTGAGTCAACAACCCTGGGCTCAATTATTTCCTGTAATATGCTATACAGAGTTGTCCTCCTTGAATTCTAACAGACTGGAGCTGCATGCATTTACATTGCAATTCTCAGGGAAATTAATATCAGTTTTATAGTTATTTCTTTTTACTTTTTCAACAACATTAATGGTAAAATTAATGTTAAAGATTTTTTTTTACATTTATCATAAAAACTTATTTCTCCCATTATCAACTGTGTTTCATCACTCCCATGCAGTTGTTCTTTATATGCCATGAAACACCAAGAACGATTCCAATTTCACCAAGGATGATTCTGATTGGCTGTTTTACTCCATTTCAAAGTGAAACTAAAATGTACAGTATGGGAGAAACAGGTCCTATAAACAGTTCTCATTAGTTACCAGTTTTTTTCAAACTGACATTCAGCAAGCCTCACATTTCTTGAAAATTAAAAAAAAATTTACAGAATTCAAGTTTGACAAAAACCAATTACTAACTCTCACTGGTTATGGAACCTATATATTTACAAATCTGTATAACATGCACTTAACAAAGCACGTTTGTTAATGTTATTGATTTAAATTAATTTAAGGTGGTATGGGATACCAAACGAAATTTCTCCTACATATTTATGTACCCAAATTAGAAGGATTTGAAATACCCCCACCTTTCAGTATATTAAAGTGTAATTTTAATAATTTTTTTATTATTTTAATGAGATATACAAAAACGATTTTTTTCTTGCATAATTCTTTTTTCATAAGCTTAATATTATAGGCAGGCGTTTGCTAATATAAAGTGTTTATAAAAACAAAAATGACAAGAAATATGTCTTAGTATTTTTTTAATTTTCAACAAAAAATAAGCGTAAAAAACTGGGAAAACTTTATTTCTTGAAAACAGACGGATAACATTTCATGAAAGTCTACAATAAGAATGTATCTTAATACGTTAGCAAAGTGAAATAAACAAATTGAAAATATATATATAAATGGAAAATATAAAATGCATTTAAAATTTTTTGAATTAAAAGATCCGAGCGGAAGAGTTATCCTTCTTTATTTTCCAAGGGTTGAAAAAACCTGGGTGCTATTTTAGAAATGATGAGTATTTTTTCCCAACCATAAAAAAATCGCACTTTGTAGTTTTCAACTTTGAGCGGTTTTGAAAACAATGCATGGACAATCGCTTTCCAGGACGTGTCTTGTTCAGAGCAATTGCATTCATCTGAACGTTTTGGGACTATATACAACAGCTAGCTGATTTGTGACCAAACAGTTACTTCTTGAATTAAATAACAAAAAAGTCCAGCTCTGGTTAACGTGATAATTGATTGGTGATAATTCAGCACAATGTGAAGTAATCGCACTTATCCATGCCTCACCGCACACAAGGTGCTGTACAGTTACTCAAACAATTGAAATACAGCTTTTGCTTAAAAGTGTTCAAAAGCAGCAATGTTGAAACTACCTTTTACAGGGGTTTGCTTTTTTAAATGTCCGTTGTACAATTATAAGTAAATTTATATACTTGCGATTTTTTTGTCTGTTTTTACTTAAAATGCCAACTTGTGAGAACTTGCATTGAAATAGGCTTCAGAGTGTTCTTTTCAACGGTGTATCTACAAATTTTGACCCGATAATAAGCACTCATGCAAATCAAAACAATACTTCAAACGGAAATACGTCATAACGTGGAGGTATCCCATACTACCTTAATTTTCCACACATTTTCATTTTCACCACAAGTCTTATTTTATATATTAATTTGTTATCTCTATTTTCTCATTAAGTTTATCATTTTGACATCATGACTGCTTCATTGACATATGAGAATGCCAACTTATAGGAAAAGCAACTGTGGAATGCAAATACAATTAAGTACCAGCACTCAAAATAATAGCATTATTTTTACGGACATTACATATATATATGTCATTACTTGAGGATAACGACTGCACTATTACTTTAATGGTCCTCAAATATACAAATTTAACTCAGTTTATTTTGGCTCATTTCTCTCTGGTGAATGTTGACATTTTTTTTTTTATTAAATTCTACATGTCCTCTAATGACCCTTACCCATTTACTTCTCCAGCATCAGTCTTATTATACACATCCATCATGAAAAACCACCTCAAAACTGGTCAACTAGAAAGCTTTCCAATGTCTAGCTTCTTAACATCCAAAGACTTTTTACACCCCTTTTTATAAAGCTGGATCAAAAAAGCATTAGATTTTCTAAGACCCCATGTAGTTAAGTTATCACAAGCACAGTCAGCTACTGAACTGGGGTTAGCAGTGAGACAAGAATGTTACATGTAAAGTTCACTTCCTGTATTTCACCTCTGGCATTTTAACTTCAGCAGCTATTAAAATTCTTCTGTATATTTATCTTGTGTCAGGAAACCTGCACAGTATCAGTCTTTAAGTACATTGTTTTAGTGGTTAAGTAGAAAACCATGCACAATATTGTATTCCAGATACATGTACATGTATACACAAATTAAGCGAACAACACATTTCTTTACTGTAGTAAATTCAAACTTTTTTTCTTTCAGATTCATTCATGCTATGAGCATACAATGAAAAGGAAGATTATTAGATAGCATCAATTTCTCATTTCAATTTTCATCTGTAGTGGACACTAAAGACTGGCCATTTAATTTTGTTGGACTGAATAAGTGAGGTAGATGATAAAGGCAACAAAATAGAGACCTCTGTGAAATCAGTCACCATTTAGGATGACTGATGTCATAATAATGTCTTACATTTCAAGTATCAAACGAGACATGCCAGTTAAAATAAATTTATTAAAAAATATTTAAGCTTTTATATGGTCTGTTTTTCCCAAGTCTAGATCAACATAAAATGTATGATACACATATTACATGTACCGTATCTGTACTGGAAAAGTGAAGTTATTTTAGAAGGTAACGGTCAATCTTTCTACTTGACGTTTAAGGTCATAGGGTTCATTGAGTACACTGAATTTAAAGTTCAACAAGTAATTGAAGTATGACACATAATGGGTTTATATGTAAGTATACTGATATAGTTTACACTAACACTGTCAGTACTCAGTAAATGTCCTTGTTATCATTTACAAAACATGCTAATGGATAATGATTGATGCATTCAACACATGGTCCATAAAAGTTCCAAAGATATGAATAGGAAAAAGAAAACAACCAAAGATATACACTTCAAATTCTGTATACTAAATTTCTTTATACTGTACTGTACATCTTAAATACTAAGCTCTCTGTCATATTAGATATGATCATATGTATAAGTTTGACAGAAAACAGTTTGATATCATTTAAAAAAACAACAACAAAAAGACAAGACTTGATTATGTCCTAACTTTCTGTCGTGATCTTGTGATCACAAGTAACTGTATGTCCCTATTGAAATGAACATGGACAACCTGGCATGAAAAAAAAAACAGCTGATAAGCCTGTTGTAATACATTAGCTCTAAACGATAATAATGTTACAAGTTATTGGGTCATTATTAATGAGCATGCATGTATTTCTTCGGGCTCTCATCTGCCTTGACCATTCCTCAAACAATTTGACAATCACTGACAAAAATTATTCCAATTTCCGTTACCAATCTTCTGTTTAGAAACGATGGGTCTTCTTAGATCGCTGAAAAGCCTGTCCCCCCCCCCCCCCCGAAGGTATAGAAGGAAGAAAAAAATCCGAAACAACTATATATATACCAACTACAGATGTCCCCCCCCCCCTTTATTTTGATAACAGTCCAGTATTGATTGTTAAAAACGAAACCACATGGGCCTTTTCACACAAATGGCAAAATTAGAAATCTTGGAGTTGATACAAACCTTCCCGTCATATAGACTGGCTGTTTACGGTCAATGACACCTGAACTGCTGCAGAAGGGAGTTCCACATTCACTTTTCCATCATGGCGGGAGAAACGTCATATCCGGTTACAAATAAGGCAACAAATATATCTCCCGGAATTGAGGCCTTCCGTGGGATAACCAACATTTAAATACGTTCAAAATAGAAAAAAGATGTACTTTTACAATTATTTAAATCAATTCCGTGATTCCTTTCTTATTGTTAATTGATGTCTTTTTTGTTTTGTTTTTTTTTTTTTTTCAAAATATTCATATTGTTATATAACGTTGCATGTGTATAACTTAATGATTTCCAAAAAAAAAAGAAAAAAAAATTGGCTATACAATTCCATAAAGCATTTATAATCTAAAGCATAATCGAAAAAAGGACAAAGAAATGTACAATAAAATTATAATTAAATATCCATGGTGCTCTGAGATAAACATGTTTTGAATACCAGAGACACTGTCTCTGTTGAATACAGATTCCGCATGTAGGCCTATGCATATATGAAAACCACATATAGTTAAATCGCTGGCAAATGGTCAATTTTTGTCCAATTTCATTATTTATTTCAGTACTTAAACCAGAAAATGTGTAGTTATCTTTTTCTAAAAGATTATTAGTGTTTAGAAAGAGATATAGTTCATCATTTACACATGTTACATCAGTTCTAAAATTCAAGATCAATGTTGACTTTATAATTCATTGTGCGTATATGACTTAATTTTCGCACTTAAATTACAATACTTTTAGATATCGATGCTGATCAGATAAAAACTACTGTTTTTATCAAATATAACAATTTCTTGGATTATCGAGAAATTTGTGGTAAAATCTGTCAAGAAATGTTGCCATTCCAGTGATTTTACAAAATGTTGTTTTTAATAAAATATATAGAGAAAAAATAAAATTATCTTCACTTTTGACACACGTCTGTACATAGCATAACAACATGTTTGTCGCAGAACACCATGGAAATAAAACGAAACACTTTAAAGAGGAAGGTCTCGAACTTTCCGAAGAACCCGAAGAAACATGCAAGTAATTAATTTGTAGTCAATGTTTAGCATATACCTGTATCAGCAATGTTCTGTGTAATTCTTATATAAAAAGGAATATGTCCAAATCTAGATCATCCACGAAATCGTGCATAGCGTTATCGGACTGAGGTACAATCACATTACATATCGAACAACATTCCTACTTGTATAAATCAATCTATTTTTTTTTTGTCTCATTAAAATGAAAAACTTTGTGCGCTACATGTATTTGTAAGCAGTTATACAATATAAAAAAGGATGGCGTCTTTTAAGCATGCGAATGAAGGAGAGAAAAAGTAATTTATATATATTTTAGATAGGTCAGCTTCCATTATTGAGGGAGTAAGACAACTGTCTCATGAGATTTTTTGGAATTAAATAGAAAATGTAGCGAAGGAGAAAGAGGAAAGAGAATTTCTATGTTTTAGACTTTAACATATGTTGTTTGCCATTACCCCCCACCCCACCCCCACCCCATCTCGCACACACACACAATTAAAACTAATCAACTTTTCATCAGCTGCAATATGAAGCATCATAAAAATGATGAAATTTTGAAATAAACAACAAACATTACACAATGACAAGATCGGTTCTAAAAACGTTTGAAATCATGCTAATGCATTTTCACGCACAAATCGGATCTTATTACACATCAAGGAAATCATATTTAAAACATCGCTTTTTTATTCAGGTAGATAGATAATATGATGATAGTATGCCTTCTCATCTCCACTGCTTTATAAGATGTTACCTCTTCTTTCTGCTGCCTTTCTTACTGGAGTAGTGAATCCTATCTCTGACTGAAGCCCCTATCCATCTTAGTGCTAACACAGTTCCTAGGTTTTTTCTCCCTATACAAATGGTTTCAACATGTCTTTATGGAAGAATCTTGACCCTGCTTCGGACACTGCATCAGTTGCTTAATTTCCACTTGTATCTGGGCGGTGTGTCGACTCCAGTTTCTTTTACTTTCGGATCTTTGGAGTCCTTGAGGGTCAAAATGAGACGAGCCTTCACAGTTTTGAATTTCTCTACCACTGATGTGAAAAGTAATCGTAGCTTAGTGATCCTGCTCTAAATTCCGACTGATGAAAAGCTCCGTGATACCCCCCATCCTCGGAGAAACTGTTGACTTTCCTCCCAAAGCCCTCAACCCATTACAATTGTTATGGCAATGTCGTAAAACATCAATGGCTATATTATTCTGGATAGGAGTTTGTGCTGGAAGACCCATGCCTTAAATTTTCCTGGCAAGCCCGTATTATCGATGTCTCTTTCAGTTTATTTGTTGCCTCCTGTTCTAGACGTCTGCTGCTATGTCCTACGGGGTATCATCATTCCACTTCCTTGCCATTTGATGGGGATATCTTGGATTGATGGTATCTTTTCACACTGAATAATCAGATTGAATTTTTGTTTAATTCTGTTCTTTGTTTACCACAAAGATTCCGAAACTTCATAAAAATCCTTACAAACAAAGATACATAGCGGGTTCCAGTAAATGTTCTACCAAGCCTCTTTCTTTACTTCTCACCAAAATATTAACAGCAGTGAAGGAGAAACTTTAGGAGTACTGTGCAACAATATATTCGAGAAGTGGTGTAAATCAGTTGTGGATACATTCCAAGGAACTTTTGGAAAATTTGAAATCACAAAATTTTACTAAAATCAATAACATAAAAACTTACGACTTTTCAACTCTGTATATACAACCTTTCCCCACGATAAATTAAAGTCCAGGCTTTTTGACATCGTTGACAGCTGCTTTTTCAATAAAAATAGAGCTCGTAAATTTACTTACCTTCTTATTGGTCATTTGCAAAATTATTCTGTTAAAAACATTTTGACTGTGCACATAAGTATTCTGAATATGATATTAAAAGTTGCTTGAGTTTCTCATTGACAATTTCTATGTGGTTTTTGGAGACCAGGTCTTCCAACAATCTGTTGAAATTCCCATGGGTACCAATTGCGCCCTGTTGTTAGCAGATCTATTTTTGTATTCATATGAAGCAGAATTTATTCAAAATCTTATACGTGAGAAAAAGAAATCTCTTGCTATGGCCTTCAACTCGACATTTAGATATATCGACGACGTATTATCAATTAACAATAGTTATTTCCATTCATATATCGACACGATATATCCCAGTGAGCTTGAAAGAAGCTGCATATGGGGTGTATATCTCTCAGTTGATACGATACGCAAGAGCATGCTCTACGTATGAACAATTTCTAAAACGAGGTAAGTTATTGACAAACAAGTTGATGAAACAAGAATATCAACAGTCTCGTTTAAAGTCATCATTTCGTAAGTTCTATGGTCGATACAATGTCCTTGTCAGCAAATGCAATCTATCATTAAGTCATATGCTGACTGACGTTTTTCATACTAATTGTTAGGCCATTATTTACACCCTGAATTATCGACGAGTTTTGCCGTTATTTCCCGATCATGACAAGGAGCACACGGCGGGTGTGACCGGTCGGCAGGGGATGCTCACTCCTCCATGGCACCTGATCCCACATCTGATGTTTTTGGAGATCCATGTTTGCGATGCTCCCGATTGGTATTGTTTGAATGGATTTTGAGCTTGAATACTATTCGTTATCTCCATATTTTATTTCAACGAGACATCTCGATTTGAAAGGCTTGAACTTCATTCGGACCCTTATGGCTTTTTCGTCCGAGGTTCTCATAACCCATCTCGCATGTATCTATATTGTCTTAGTGATGGTTAATCGTCCATGTAACCTCTGCTTGAAAGCTTCTTGATGGCTGACTTGGTCTTTGGTCCTCTGGCCTCTCTTCTCCCTGCCTTTATTAAGAGATTCATTGCCATGACAAAAATGACTTCAAAAATAGTATTAATACTTTCACTATCCCTTTCTCCAGCCGCTACAATGATGCTGTAGTCTCCCACTCTGAATCTAAACTGTATCACATCTTAGGCTGTTAGTGGTCCTTTAGGATTTTGGCGATCTTCTTTGGTATGTGGTAGTACTGGAGTTCTGTTTCGATGATATGTAGAACTGTACCATAGGCGTTCGCCAGATTCAACAACTGTAAGGATCCCTTTAGTTTCTTTCGCCTCTTCGATCAATTGTGAGATGACACTAGTCATGGTATACTGGGAACCATGGAATCCTCTTTCTGCATGAAGTATCTACATACGCATTAATCTTTTGATAATTAAATTTACATGTTTTGAATTCGTATTAAATCTCCCATTTTGTGAAAACACCATGTGTTCGAACCCTGCATGGGATTATTAATATTGATCGAGAGAGTCTCGCAAAGACATCTGCAACACACCTTTAAAGGACATTTGTCATTGCATATGGACAGTGCAATTACTTCAAGTATTTCTTGCTCTAATTCTTTTCTCGGTTAATTGTGGTTCATCTTTGACAATACGTGCTTCTATCTCCTCTCGTTTTGGCAGTTCTTTATAATGTATCATGTATTACTTATAAACTAAGAAAGGGTCAAGGGTTTGAAAACTGCCCCGGACTTCATAGAAAATACTAGTTCAATTTAAATGCAATAATTTTCACAAGGTATAAAAATTACGCTGTGGTAAAAAGTGAGGAGAAAATATTAGTATTTTGTATGGGAATTGAATTCACGCAATAAGACCTTTCAATAATTTTCACTTTCAATCTAAACCATAATGTCACGCAATTCATATCATATCATATGGCATTCAAATCTTGGTTACGGAAACTTCGAATAAGTTGGCTGGACTTTACATTTGACCAGGGTAACATACTTCTCATGCCACACTTGGCACAATTGGACCAATGTTTTCCTTATGTTTGTAATGCGATCACTGAAGAAGTGGCATATATTCTGCAACGAATTAGAATGAACCCACTCCCCATTGGTAAGAAAATATTCTTAACAGGTGAGTTTCTTTCATATATACTGTTAGTGGTTCGAACAACCGCCTATCTTACCCTTATTCTGAAGTTGACATATTCGGTTTTTTGCATAATGTGTGAAAAAAAGTGAAAATAACGAACAATGATTGAAAAAACAATACCAATTTGTGAGCAAGGCACTTCGCTGTCGA